GTGTCCTCACCGAGCCAATACTTCAATGAGCTATCATGTGCTAGTGCTGCCATCTTGACTAAGGGAAACCCACCTTGTGGCTTCACAGCCGGTTTCCTACTGCGTATGCGCAAAGTGCGCTGTGCTTTGTGAATGCGCCGCAGTCTTTTGGGACCTGTGAAGTCTCACAGAAGGCTGTAGGGGAAGAAAGGGGGCCGAATGTCCCGGAAGTGGGAAAAACAGGTACGCGCTCCCCCCTCCCCAAAAAGTACCAAATGTGGCAGTGGAGAAGGGGAGGAGGCTGAGAAGAGGAGCTTCCCCTTTTGGGTGGAGCTCTGCTTTAAGACACTTCCTAAATTATATTACTGGGGTTACGAAGGAGATATAGAAGGCAGAAAAATGTATATCAATTCATATGAATTAACCCATAACTGAAATAATTTGCGGTAGGTTGATTTAACTGGAGTTAGGGTCTGGGAGACTGGGAGACCCTTACCTTAGTTTTTCACCTGAGCTACCTTTTTTTCTGACTTACGTGAATTCTCTATATAATTTTATAACAAATTTATTAGAGAGCAGTACAAATTTATGCCCAGCCTGTAACAGCTGTGTCAAACATGGTGAATGGGACAAAGGATTGTGCTTTAAATCTGATTTGCATAATAAATGTAATTTATCCAGGTTTCTAAGAGGGCTTTGCAGCTTCAAAATGCACGGCACATGGAGCAGGCACAGTAACTGAGTCACGTTTCAAACATTAATCACTAGGTCCATTCTATAATAATGACATATCCTACTTTTACCTATTAAACTGGGAGTAGCCTGTTGACTCACACGTGTCTCAAACAATCACTAGTTACTGACACTCATTTGAAGACAAAAAGTATTGGCTTACTCTAGTTTCAGATTCTGTCGGTATGTTTTAGGGCTCAGTCACACTATTTGCAGTGATTCATGTTTTTTCTGCACTGGATAAATGCATTTCACTGCTATGGCACATAGAAAACAATTGTTTTCTTTATGTCCCATTCACACTGCTGTTGTGATGTGCAGTGCGGTGCCGTGCACAAAAAAGCAACATGTTTGCATTTTTCTACTCTGCACTGGATGGCACTGCATGTCACTGCACAGCAGCACAATGCACTGGACTACTGTACAGTGACATGAACAAGTGTGGCACTTCAAATAAAGTTGAAAAAAAAAAAAACATGCAGTGTGATGTGCAGAAATGCGTCCTGCTGATTTTGGCCCTTCATTGGCCTGCATGGTAAAACGTTGCACTTTACTGAGCAGGCTAGTGTGAACATACTGTAGCTCTAGGGTTGTTGGTAGTATACAGATTTAATGCTTTCATTTAGGGTTTATTGTTGTCACTAATTGTCCAAATGTTTTACTAAAATCCAGGGCTTTTTTTCAGCGGGAATATGGTAGAACACAGTTCCGGCACCTCCAGCACAGGATGTATATAATGGCAAGGGGTGCTGCTGGGGTGTGCTAGGGGGATCTTATCTTTCTGGGGGTCATTTGTTGCTGGGAGAGGATCTACTGTTGGGGCAGGGAGTCTATTATTGCTGGCTGCTGGAGGGTTTAGAGATCTGATGTTACTGCCTGGGGTCAATTGTTGCTGGGGAATCTATTGTTTCTAGCTGCAGGGGTTCTCTTTTACTGCTTTATCTTTATCAAATTCCAAATTACTTAGCACAACAATCGGATATTTGGTTCTGTATATTTTAAAAGGGGCATTACTGAGAGGTGGGTAATAGGTGGAACCAAGAGACAATGCTTGGAAGTGGGTAGGGGGTGAAGACAGGGGTGACTCAGAGGGGGGGGGAGTTCCTGCACCTATTCTCTGTGAAAAAAAGCCCTGCTAAAATCCATACACAATACAGAACATGGACAAGTAATAGGATGAGTGATGATTTTCCACTGAAAGGCTGGGAGATAACATTTCAGCAGGACAAATTGGAAGGACAAACGTCTAAAGCTGTCTATACATGATGTTGTGGATGCAGAAGTCTCTCCAGCCGTGCTACTGTATTCTGACAGCGGGACACCCACCCCATCAGAATACACTGATCAGGGCTGCAGCAGCTAACTGAATGTTGGTTTTCCAGCAGGACCATTTAACAGAAACTGGTTTAAAGATAGAGGGGGGTATACGGATCAAAATTCGTTCAGTTTCTACTGAACCAGACAAATTTAAATTTGTGTATACCCAGCTTTAGAACCAGGGTTCCCAGTAAAGCTTAAGGTGGCCATGGATTACTTGTTTTTTCAGATTATGCAGTGGGCTGATTGAAAAACATTGTATTGTGATAGCCGGACTCCACCACTGTCAGAATACACTGAATAGCGGGCTGCAGGATTCCCATTCGACAGAAGTTAATCTATTGAACAACTTGTGTTGAATGGGGATGGCGATACATGGATTGCAATTTGGCCTGTCCCTTCTGAACTGGCTGAATCCATCTATGGCCCGCTTTAGGCTACACTCAAATATCTGAGTTTTTCATATGATTCAGTCCTATTGCATGCATTACCACTCATCCTTATGGAGTCATGTTTTTCAGAAGATTAGGTTTAACTCATCCCAATAAAATGCAGAGGTGTGAATGCAGCATTAGGGTGGCCATACACCGCCTTATAAATAAAAGTGATGCAAGAGATTTGAGCATTGTTTGTCATTATCAGACTGTAATACTTAGCAGCAGCACTGAAAGTGCTTGTTATAGATTTTTAGTCTTTTAAAAATGAGTCGTTGTTCAATCTCCCTTCTCCATAGAAAAGGGAAAAATGTCATACAGGTCTGTCATGGTACATACACTTCATTAGCATGTAACAGAGAAATGCATCACTGGAAGTCCTTTCATCATGCAATTGGGAAGTCTGCCCTTGTAGATTAATTCAGCCTTAGGGCTCTTTCAGGTTGGGCAGTGGGAAAAACAGATGACTGAGCAGATGCTTTAGTGCCCTCCAGCCTCCCACCGGAATTGTAACATTACAACTGAACATGGATGTACACATGGACTACACCATTACCATCAGCCAAACGCTCTGCTCACAGTTGCAGCACAGTCCCGCAATGTAAAATTGCTATATAACAATTGAGAAATAAAAAAAACAGGTACTGAGGAAGCAGCACTAACCTGTCAGCTGCTGCTATAGTGCCTGAAGAGTGCAATACGTACATATACTGTACATTGGCGGTTTCAAGTGCTTTCCTGGGATGATACCTGCAGCTATAGGCATCATTCCTGGTAATGTTTTTTATTCAGCAGCTGACTCTGTTTTTTGTAAAAGCAATCCTAGTGGCTAATTAGCTACTGGAGTGCTTTTTTGGTTTTACAGGCAATGGAGGGGAGTCACCACCACCCCCACGCTGTTCTCCAGTGCCTCTTCGGGTTCCCCCGTCCCACCAGAGAGCCTAGGGTTGAATCCAGCAGTTCTGGTGGCTTATCATAGAGGTGAACAGGGACTAGAACATCCCTGGCCATCTCTATGGCATAGGAAATAGAAATTGACAAGTACTTTGTCACTTCTGCTTTCACTGGATGTGAACAAAGTCATTTTTGTCTTGGGAAAGCATCTGAGCACACCAATCTTGGTGTGATCAGATCTGTTTATGGGAAGAGGAGACATCTGGGGTCTAATAGACTTGAGATGTCTCAGTAAAGAGTACCTGTCACTGCTTTTAGTTATCCCCGAAAATCCTTTTCTTCAGAAAAGCCTATCCAGCCTCCACCTAACAACTGTATTTTATTTTCTTCATCAGCTCATCCCCCACAGTTATGACCTTTGTATCACTTGACCCTCCCTCTTAGATTGTAAGCTCTAACAAACAGGACCCTTTGATTCCTACTCTATTAAATTGTATTGTAATTGTACTTCCTGGAGTTAGGTTTACATATTATTAAAACATTAACATTTTATATTCCTGATACGTGCCTAATGTAACATGTACTTGTATGAAAACATACCCTGTTCTCTATGTATTGTTTCCTTTGTGCGAAATCCCTGTTGTTCCTGTCAGTTCCTCTGATCTAATAAAAACTGACCACACTAGGCATGAGAGCAGAGTGTGGGCAGTTCTCTAGCTGTGCTGTGAACTGTGAACTCAGTCCGCTCTCCACCAGTGATCAGACTTGTGCCAACACCCATGCCCTTGACCCCCCCCCCCCCCCCTCCGGCAGCCATTCACTGGGAAGGCCAGTGTCCTGCTGTTTTTTTCCTCTCTCACCTCTCTGTGTAGCTGAGAACAGAGGGTATGTGGTCACGCAAAAAAAAAAAAAAAAAAAAGGAGAAAAGGGTATTTTATCATGTTTTTTTATCTTTACACAAATGTTTTGCGCTTCATTTCTATTTTAACCACTTGCCCTCTGGAGGCTTTACCCTCCCTTAATGACCAAGCCATTTTTTTGCTATTCGGCACTGCGCTATTTCAACTGGCAACTGCATGGTTATGCAATGCTGTACCCAAACAAAATTTATGTCCTTTTTTTTCACACACATAGAGCTTTCTTTTGGTGGTATTTGATCACCACTGGGTTTTTTATTTTTTTTGCGAGATCAAGCATTGATATTGGAGAAGAAGGCCTGGCTCGCAGTCTCCGCTCTAATTTATCCCAAAGGTGTTCTATCGGGTTGACGTCAGGACTCTGTGTAGGCCAGTCAAGTTCCTCCACCCCAAACTCGCTCACCATGTCTTTATGGACCTTGTTTTGTGCACTGGTGCGCAGTCATGTTGGAACAGGAAGGGGGCATCCCCAAACTGTTCCCACAAAGTTGGGAGCATGAAATTGTCCAAAATGTCTTGGTATACTGACACCTTAAGAGTTCCCTTCACTGGAACTAAGGGGCCAAGCCCAACCGCTGAGAAACAACCCCACATCATAACCCCCCCCCCCCCCTCCACCAAACCTTACATTAGTCACAATGCAGTCAGGCAAGTATCGTTCTCCTGGCAACAGCAAAACCCAGACACATCCATTGGATTGCTAGACAGAGAAGTGTGATTTGTTACCCCAGAGTACACATCTCCACTGCTCTAGAGTCCAGTGGCAGTGTGCTTTACACCACTGCATCTGACACTTTGCATTGTACTTGGTGATGTAAAGCTTGAATGCAGCTGCTCAGCCATGGAAACACTGTTGTGCTAATCTGAAGGCCTCATGAAGTTTGTAGGTCTTTAGATATTGACTCTGCAGACAGTTGGCAACTTCTGCGCACTGTGCACTTCAGCCTGCGCTGACCCTGCTCTGTCATTATACGTGGCCTACCACTTCGTGGCTGAGTTGCTGTTGTTCCCAGTTGCTTCCACTTTGTTATAATACTACTAACGGTTGACTGTGGAATATTTAGTAGCAAGGAAATTTCACAGATGGACTTATTGTACAGGTGGCAATCTTGAATTCACTGAGCTCCTGAGAGCGACCTATTCTTTCACAAATGTTTGTAGAAGCAGTTTGCATATCTAGGTGCTTGATTTTATACACCTGTGACCATGGAGGTGATTGGAATACCTAAATTCAATGATTTGGAGGGGTGTCCTGATACTTTTGGCAATATAGTGTATATTGGAACTTATGCAGGCCATAGACGGGTCGAAAACCGGTTGTTTTAAAAAAAACAAAAAACAAAAAATCGGTCGTTCAATAGGTCAACGTTACCACCAATGGTAAAAAAAAAAAAAAAAAATCGGCCGATTTTTGTCCCGTCTACGGCCGGCATTTAATTACTCCTGTCCCTTGCAGAGAGCTCCGCTATTATATTTGAAATGAAAAAGTATTGCGGTTGCAACAATGTATCCATTTGTATCCATTTCGGATACAGATGTTTTTATTCGGATACAAATAGATATATTGTTTCAACCGCAATAATTTTCATATAAAATAAAATAGCAGACTGGAATTCTTCTTTTTCTTCTTCTACGTCTTCTTCATTTTCTTCTTCTTCTTGCAGGCCAAGGCTCATGCGCAGATTTTTTATCGGTAAAACGATCGGCCGATTTGCCCATCATTGCCGGGAAAATTGGCCGATCGGCAAAATCGGACAATTTTTTTCAAACTTTACCGATAAAAAAAAATGTGCCAAAACCCCAAAAAATGGCCAACCAATTACACCACTAATGGTGCGAAAATCGGCCGATTTTTTTTTTCGCCCGAGAAATCGACCGATTTTTGACCCCCGTCTATGGCCTGCATTACTCAGCTTTTACTTTCCGACTGCCTATCACATTTCTTGAGGTTCTAAATTAATTTTTTTTACACACAACGTTTTCACTTAAATTATATATTGCTCACGCATACCATTTTTTTAAAATCACTTTTATTGTTATCACCGGGAATGTAAATATCCCCTGTGATAGCAATAGGCAGTGACAGGTACTCTTTTCTGAGAAATCTGGGGTCTATAGACTCTAGATCTCTTAAAAGCATCTGATCACACAAAGATAGGTGTGATCATATGCTTTCCCAACTTTAAAATGGCACTGTTTTTATCTGGCAAAACAGAAATGGTGCAATGCTCGTAGCTTACGATTGTTTTAGAATGTAACTGCTGGCTACATTCTTGGGTTCCCCTGTGGGATGAGAGAGACCGAGAAAACCATGGAAAGAGGTGGAGGGGGGGAACAACATTCTTTCCCCATGCTTGTAAATGTGATCCAGTGGCTAATTAGATGCTAGGATTGTTTTTACATGAAAGCAGACTGCCAGCTAAAAAAGGTCGATACCAGGATGATGCTGTAGCTGCAGGCATCATTCTGGTATAACCACTCAAAGTCCAGCGACATGTCAGTACGTTGCTGGTCCTTGTATGTAATGGCAAAGTAGGTGGGCATATGGTGAATTGGGTCTGTGGACCAATATGACCACAATTCATTCCTTTTTGTAATGCCCATGTTGAGGGTCATACGAATTGTCTGGCACAAGTTGAATTTTGGTGGGTGGTGATGTATTGTTGTGTGCATAAATTGGTTTGGCCCACAATCAACTCATGCAAATCTTCCATGAAAAACAGCAGACCGGCTAAATGCTAGTGTTGACAGCGAATGGGGCTGATCCTGCTAACAATGCTTTTCTAGGAAAACTATACTAAGGAGGCACTAGTATAGTTCTGTTCATGATCAATATATTGATCCCTACAAACACTATACTAGTAATGATGGTGATCAGCGACCTATAGCGTGAGTGATATAGTGTGCGGGCAATCTAATGCTAGCTGACCCTGGCTGGGAGGGGAGGTTACAAACCCTGATGTCGCTTTTGGGCAGTAATACAGTGATCAGTGAAAAATTCTATATACTGACACTGTAGAAATAGCACTGGCTTGGTGATAGGGTGATCAAAGGGTTAAATGTGCTAATCTAACACGTGTGTAAAATGTAGTGCTTTTACTCAGTTCTGTGTTCTCTCTCCTCTCCCTGGACCTGCATAGGGGGCAGCGGGGGCCGCACGCACAACCGGAAATGGAAAGCGACGTAAGGGTAAGTCTCTTTGCCCAGAGCTGCCACTCGCCCACACAGTCAGCAAATAGTTAAAAAAATAAAAATAAAAAATAATTTATCTCAGTATTTTTTATTTTTTTTACCATTATTTTGCTTTTTTTAAATATTTTTTAAAAAAAATACTTTCATCAAAGTAGTACAATGTTACCATAGTAACATTGCAGTACTCTGGGCTGGTGATCAGGATTTTTTTTTTTTTGTTTACACTTTGCATTACAGGAGCAATAAAGAATATTGCTCCTTCATTGCAATGCTTGCCAGGTCACATGGTACAGGGTGCTATGATTGGCCCATGTACCATGTGAGAGCTGTGGGTCAATCACAGCTCTCCAGGAACAAAAGCAAAGTTACTATGAATCAGATTGATTCATAACAGCTTTGTCATTGTGATGATCATCGGGTCCCAATTACCAGGATCCACATTCTGCTGTGTCTAAGAATTTTCGTTTGAATTTCACACCATTATTGGGTAAACCCTCACTTTGTAAAACAACTCATTCATTTTAACCAGTTCCTGTCCACCCGCAGTGTTCTGGGAACAGGTGGCAGCTACAGGACCAGCGACATACCTGTACATCACTAGGGCTGTACCAACACAGGGGGGTGCTGCGCACAATGCTCCCCGCACATTATTGGGTCACGGAAATGGCTGATTTTTGTGTGACCATCGAATTTGAGTGAACAGGCATGTTGGAAATTTTTTGAAAAACAAACTAATTTCGAATCAATGATGGGAGAATTGTCCGGGAAATATAAACGAAAAAGAAATGAGCATGAGCTGTGACCTGGAAAGAAAAGAAAATTCTTGGCCACAAAAATTTTTTTCTGGAGCAACATGAGGTGAAATTGAAGGCTTGGTTGGTTGAATTTTGAAAATCAATGGTGGCACTATCGGATTACAAAACACATGAAATTTCTGATTTTCTAAAGAACTTGCGTTCGGAATTAAACCCATGTATGGCCTGCATAAGCCTTTTTTTGTGATTTACCAATTTTTAATGCAGGTGTTTCTTCCCGCTGCATGTGTTTTAAATTACAGGGAATTGTTAACCACGTGTGAACGTCTGTTGGATGTCACATTGACTGCTTTGTAAATATGCCCCTCAATCTCTTTTTGTATGCTGAAGGACTTCATTGGGTGTGTTGTTAATATTATGAGGACATTATGACTCTAGCTGTTTGTAAAGTTGGAATGTCAGCTACATTTATATGACAGTTCTAGTCTTCCAGAGGTTTAATTTGCTGAGTACCTTGGAGAGGTGTAGATCCATGCAGAATGTTAGTTATCCAGTTTGTCAACTGTCAGGGCAAGCAAGTTTACAGGCTTGTACTGAAACTAAGCATAGGGAAGTATTACGGATTCAGGTATATAGCAGATACTGTATTTTCTCAGACATATGTCATCACCACCAGACATAAAGCCTATATAATTACAATGCTAACTTCCTGGGAGGAATGTCTACTCCCTTATACAGGGAACCTGAATAGACTGTCCACAGCAAAGGGTGGAGAGGAAGGACTAACAAAATTTCCTGCAGGAGGTATTATCTTTAGAGAAATAAAAAATATAAAACATAATTCACTTTAAACACAAAAAAATGCATGTTTACATAAATACTAGTGCTAACTTCTAACAAAAATCAAACTGACAACTGTGTTCCCACTCATCATTTAGGACATCTGCAGCATTTTCTGTATAGCATTAGCAGTTCATTTATTCTGCTTGTTGCTGCCTGATGTTGCTCATAAAGTGGTATTAAACTCAAAGTAAACATTTATTATATTGCAACTTACCAATTCTTAGATGTGGTACTGCATTAGGTTTCATTTTTAGGCTTTCTTTTCCTTTGTTTTCACCTGGTGATCTGGCCAGTAAGTCTGTTAGTTATGCAAAAGAACAAGCTCTCTTGCGCATATAGCAGTTAGGGGGTTGAGATAAACAATTTACCACTGACAGGGGTGCTTACAATGATCAGCTTTTTATTTATTTATTTAAAACCTTTATCCCAAAATGAAAAAAAAATATGTTGCTGTAACTGCATATAAAGTATTAGAAGGAGTTTGGCTTCAGTGTATTAGTATATTTACATCTGCTATTACATGTAAGACTACCCTCCCTCTCAACCAACAATACTGCTGTGAAACTGTGTGAGTCCCCCAATCCATACCAGGCTGTTAGGGTCTGATAAGGATCTTAAGGGAGACCCCATGCCAAAAAACATATGACGTGGGGTCCCCCCCCCAAAATCCACACTGGACTCTCAGGTCTAGTACGGATTTTGAGGGGAACCCCAAGCTAATATTGAAAAACACTGCCCCCCCCCCAATCCATATCAGATGCTTATCCGAGCATGCAGCCCGGCAGGCCAGAAAAGGGGTGGAAAAATGAGCACCCCCCTCCTGAACCATACAAGGTGACATGCCTTCAACATGGGGAGGTGCTTTGGGGCAGGGCGGCTCCCCACCAAAGCACCTTGTCTCTATGTTGGTGGGGACAAGGGCCTCTTCCCCACAATCCTGGGTGGTGGTTGTGGGGGTCTGTGGACATGGGGGATTACAGGAATCTGGAAGCCCCCTTTTAACAAGTTCCCCTCAGATCCCAACCCCCCATGTGAATGAGTATGGGGTACATAGTGCCCCTAGTCATTAACAAAAAAAAAAGTAAAAGTAGTGTAAATAAAGACAGGATTTTGACAAGTCCTTTATTAAAATAAAAAAATTAAAAACTGTTTCCCCCCAGTGTAAATTCATTGTCAATCACAATGAACGCCACTCTGCCAACCCACGTAAAATAGAAAAAAGGTCTGCACCCGATGATGGCTTCCACCAGCTGACAGCTCAGCTTCATAGGGGCAGGGAGCTAGCTTCAGGTGCGTATATATATATATATATATATATATATATATATATATATATATATATATATATCTATCTATCTATCTATATCTATCTCATTTATTTTTT